AGAGAAACTTGTAATAGAACGATCTCAGGGTGGTAAATCTGGAGAAGAATCTGAAAATGAAACTTCTGATGTCGAAGATGGAGATGAGGATGACATGGAAAATGACGAAAATAATGGCAATCAAGAAGCTCAAAGCATAAACAATTAATAAATGAATTTCACTCTTCAGGCAGAGATTTTATAAACTGGATTTGCTTTGGAACTTTTTCGTTCATAAATATCTTAAAAAATGTTTTCGAATTTTTATTTAGATATTGATTATAAATTATAGCATAAAAAATGATTACACATGTCGAAAATTCGCTTACTTTTTAGTTACAAAAGTTGAAACGTTTTCGGATCTTCTCTTATATTATATTAAGAAACTTATAGCATATGAATCTTTACGTATTTATTATAATTTTATTAATTTACTTAACATTTAATGATTTTTATTAATTTATTTATAACGAACATTTACAAATATTTTAATATGTTTCGATATTCAATTACTAAAAAGAAAAAAAAAACGAATTAATATTAACAAATATAATAAAATAAATATTAACGGACAATAATTTTCGAGCATGATGGACCTACGCTGGTGTTACGAAAGTTTCCATTCCTTTGAATTCATCTCCTTGAGCTCGAATATAATCTCGCTATCGAATTTTGGCGGCTTTCAATAAACTATCAACATATTTTGGCTGCAAGCAAAAAGTATCGTGAATATTCATAATAAATTACAATGATATAAGATCTATCAAAAAATTAATGCAAAAACCTTTTTATTGCAACCTTTATCTTTTCCTTTGGTCTCCTCTAATCTCTTCCTTTCGGCACTTTTCATATCATCATACACTTCATCGTATGCAAAAGCAGTAGGATCTTCTTCCAACGCTTCTTTATACTATAAAAAAAATTTTTTTAGAGGAAAGGGTATTCGCAGTGAAGACCCAATATGCACTAAAGCCCATGTCACTCAAAAAGAGGTGAATAATATAATCAAGACTAAATCCCAGCTAAACCACCACCATCTCCAAGGACCAACAAACGATAGGAAACAGGTTTCACCACTTGCCCATGTTGCAGTTGCACAAGGAAGGCTCATAACCAATCCCTCATACGGAACCAGTAGACCTTGTTACCTACATCTCGGACTCGATCAGAACACTAACATGACAAAAGAAACACTTATCTGTTTTAGCTAGATGTGATAGGAATAGCAAAGTGAGAAAAATAAGAAAAAAAAAAATAATCAGAAATTTTATCACTTATATACACATTAAATAAACAACGCGTAATGTTGTGGCTAAAAAATATGACGTAAAAAATCAACTATGCTTATATGACAAAAAAATAAACAACGCGATCTGCAAATTCGTAATTTTTACTACGCGACTATCACTATTATCATCACGTGATTAAAATACTTAAAAAAAAAAATTCGGATATGTAAGACGTAATATACACAAGCGAACGCGTTATCTCTAATATAAAAAAGGTGAGGTTTAATGTTTTAAAAAAAAACAACCTTTCCTCTCTGACTCTATTACTAAGAAATCCTTTCTTTCTATACCTAAAGGCCTCTTTCTTTTTCGTTCCTTCTTTGCAATCTTAGTAATAAAAAACCCCCCCATCCCTGTATCATATTTCTAGTCCATGATGTATGGGCGAGTGACACGTAGCTTTGTATTTCCGGGTTCGTCGTGACTACAGTTTTTAATTGTTAGTCGGCATACAGCCTTGGTACCTTGTCTATGCATGTTGCGAAAAAGTCGAATGTTACATACTTATTTTATTTTTATCGACTTTTTTTTATTTAACTTGACTTATTATTTCACCATCCCATTTATTTCGTCGAGTCCTGTGATGCCCACTGATTCCGCATGAGGGGTTGGTTTTGTTTCTTTAGAGACGGCATTAATGGGGCCAGTGATGTACAGCACGGTCACCAGGTCATATTGTGGCTATAGGAGATGTCAACTGCTTCTAGGGCGTGCAAACTGCTTTTAGAGCTTGCATTTCTTTGGTTGGCTCTGTCTATACATTGCGAAAAAATCAAATAATTTTCATTTGGTTTTTTATTTTAATATTTGTGAGGGGTTTTTTTCGAAGAGGAAAGGAACTTTTTTTTGGTTAAAATATAGTATACCTATACTATATTTTAACCTTTTTTTTTATAGATAAGTATTTTTTATTTTCTCAAATATTTATTTTATTATATTTGTTAATATTAATTCGTTTTTTTTTTTTTTAGTAATTGAATATCGAAACGAAACGTAGTTTATATTAAAATTTACTTAGTTTAGAGATTAAAATATTTGTAAATGTACGTTATAAATAAATTAATAAAAATTATTAAATGTTAAGTAAATTAATAAAGTTATAATAAATGCGTAAAGATTAAGTTTCTTAATATAATATAAGAGAATATCTGAAAACGTTCAACTTTCGTAACTACAAAAATTAAGCGAATTTTCGACATGTAATCATTTTTCATGCTATAATTTATAACAATCAATATCTAAATATTAATATAATAAAAATTCAAATTCGCAAACATTTTTTAATATTTATGAACGAAAAAGTTCCAAAGCAAATCCAGTTTATTATTACATTAAAAATCTCTGCCTGAAGAGTGAAAATTTATTTAATTGTTTATGCTTTGAGCTTCTTGATTGCCATTATTTTCCTCATTTTCATCATCTTTTTTCATGTCATCCTCTTCTCCACCTTCGACATCAGAAGTTTCATTTTCAGATTCTTCTCCAGATTTACCACCCTGAGATCGTTCTATTACAAGTTTCTCT